GCTGTATGCATTTTATATGATTAAAAGAATTTTCAATCGAAAAATAAGGCTATTGTTAGCTAATATTTTCTTTTGATATATGCGAAAATTAAGATATCATACAAACCTGTCTGGTGATCCACCTATTCTTGTCGCATAATCTTCCGTAATACCAAAGCTACAAGTGAGAAATTTATTTCTGAATTTTAGCTAACATTACATCAATTTCAGCTAACATGGAATCCATTTCTATTATCTGAGACTTTTAAGGATCAGGTTAGAATGCTGGTAAAGAAACCTGTGTTTGGGATTTTGAACCATTTACCTTGAAAGCAGATTTATGGTCAGATTCAGGACCAAAGTCTTCTAATTCTGTATCACCTATAGTATAATTCTTTCCTGCATCATGATACATAATCTTATGCCTCAATACTCTTCTACTGAGAAGATCAAGTTGCTGGTGAGTTGGCTTTGAACTACCATGAACTCTGGAAGCATGCTTACCTCCTATTTTTCTTAATATTTTAGGCTCGATTTTATGAGGCTTTAGGAATTCGCTAAATGCCCTAGTATTACGCTTTCAATTTTCACTAAAAGTGGGATCACTCAACCTTCTAGCCTTTATAGCTTCTTGAAGTAGTGTTCTTATACGTTCTGGATCCTTCTCCATAGAAACGAATGGATGAGGCTCTGGATTATCCTTATATTTTCCTTTATTCTTAACATATCCAGTACAATACTAGGAAAAACCATTTGCATATCATGCTGGAGAATTTGAGGGATCAACTTCATAATGACTGATTTGAAGAGATTTCACTTTCGCAGGTCTTATACTTAACATCAGGGTTGGGAAGTACAGTGTTAGTATAATAATTAGTACAATTAGTACAATTAGTACTTTATAATAATTAATATAAAAATTAGTACAAGTACAGTACAAGTATAGTGGTAATTTTATCTAGTACATACAAAATTCCCAACCCTGCTTAATATCACTATCATATCTGCGAGATTCTCTTGAGTAGGAAATTAGAAACATCCATATTTAGAATCCTTTTACGCACATTTTCTAAGAAGAAATATAGTGGAGTTCTTGATCAATTATTGGCTAAATTTTGCTCAGTCTGTTCTTTCTGAATTTTGTTAGAAGTTGTAGTGACATCTGGATCTTTGGCATAAATATCAATAAGTTCTTGAGCAATACCAGTTTTTGCCAATTCAATACGAAATAGTGAGAGCTGTGAACAGGAGGCAACAGTTTCTTTATTGTTATTACTTTTTAGACCTAAATCAAGAGCATTAATATAAATATTTCACTTATCGCTAGTTTTGGCACAATAGAAAGCTCTTTCTCCAATAGTGAACTTTTCTTTTCTTTTGTCTAGCACAAGAACCCCTATCTGCTCTTTACTAAATGTGTGTCTTTTATTAGTGCGTCTGGTAAGGAGATCTTTAACACACTTGCTAGCCTTCCAATCATGCAATTAAACATTAAGTTCTGAAGCATGTTCTCTTAATTGTTCTAGAGTGGAGTCAGCTGACAAATTATACTTTTCTAGGAACTATTCTAAAATCAAAATAAAGTTATTAGTTTTGGGCTTTTGGGCCTTTGGAATAGTTGCTTTAGTAGACATGCCAATGATAAGTAGATTGCGATTATTACCTAGTTATACTAATCTACTTATTTTTTAATTCGAAAAAATTCCTCAATCCTGGGTGCTAAAGCAAAGCAATTTTGAATATCTATATTAAAAGTGAAGATGAAGTTTTAAGATTATTAATATCAAAATTACTTCGTATGGATCATCTATCCTATCAATACATCAAGAAAGATGGTTCAATTTGTGGAAAAGGGTGCTGGCATGCTTCAGGATGTGCCAGACATTATAAAACCCATCCTAAAAAAACATGCTCTGTCTATAATGAGCTAACCTATTCTGATACTAGAATCTGTAACACACATGGTGGAATTTATAAGAATGCTTATCATGAGGATAAAAAAAAAAAATGGAATCGACTCCTTTAGGATTATCTATATAGTCAAGATACTTGGCTGAATAACAATCTGGACTGGAGAACTATTTTTCCTTACCCTATAGAATTAAAAAGTTACTGGATCTTATTATTTGTTTTTGACTTATATAGTAAAAGTTCTGATGCGCCTTTATCTCCAAAACCAAGGCTATCATATGGCTGGTGATTAATTTGATATGAATGTTCCCAAACTCATTTTTCTTTAGGCCCTATTTTTTTCCTATTTATCTTTACAGTATAGCCATACCAATTTCCAGCAATTGTATTAATTGCCCTTATAGCTGAATTAAGATCTGACATTACCTTAGCATGAGACTTAAAGCCAAAGAGTAATAAGAATTGATCCAAAACCTCTATAAACCTTTTATAGGATTGTGTGAATGCTTCTGATACCATACTATCAGAAAGGATACGCTCATTATTTATGCCTGTAAAACCTAGTATTTGAAAAAGTTCTTGTATAACTTCCAAATGCTTTGCTGAATAAGATTTACGCAAGTCTTCTACTACTGATTTTTCAGATTCTCTTCAGCTCTATAGCAGGCAATTTCCCATTGTATATTTTCTTCAGCTTTTAATCCCTTCATTGCACCCTTCTTATCATAACTTTGCCTTCAAAAATAAGACAACTGTAAGAAATGCTTCTGAGCTTCAGGCGAACTAAAATTTTCAATGAATTTTCTATTGCAAATATTATTCTAATCCTTAAAACACATGTCTTTACAATAAAGGATCTGCATATAAAAACGTTTAAGTGTTATAATATCTGCGATAGAACGCTCTTGGTCAAATTTAAGGACTTCAGCTTTTTCAGGACTAAGATTCCAGAAAGTAGCAATTGCGTTAAAATCTGTATTTTTAATAACTAATGCTTCAACCCTAATCTCATTGTGAACCCTTTTGTAATTCCCTATAACTCCTCGACTCTCATCTATTTTTATAAGTTAGAGAGAAGCGCCTGTACTAGCTATGAGACTATAAAGCTTTTCAATAAAATATCTTGCAGAAAAATGTTTCTGATGCTCGACTTCAATAAAAGTTATTACGGCTGGAGACGAATCAACTTTATAAGAAATAATATTATTATTCCATTCACAATGTCCCTTTATTACTGTAGGCAAATTATTAGGTTGAGCACTTTCAAGCTTTGCTCAAATATTTTACGACCTGGCGGTGAAAAAGTTCATTAGAATTCTTCTGATAGAATAAAGAAACAGTATGACAGGGGGAATCACGAATTCGGTAAAGCATTTGTGCAAGAGCTTGGAATAGCAATATTTGTAATGGCTATGACTATATAAAAGTGGCCTGTAATTTCAAAAGATATACCTACTTCCACTATATTTGTATAAGCCACGCAGTCGAGTTTGCCCCAGATATTATTAATATTGGAAAAGTCTTTTTGTCTTTGCTTCCCATCTATATCCCCATAATATGCACAGGCTCTAACAGGTGAATTATCAGATTTAGATAACTTAGATGCTTTTTCTACTAACGCTCTAACCATCACTGCTCCAGTAGATACAAATGCCACACGTTTTCCTTGCCTCAAAAGGTCATATCCTATTCTTATAGCTTTAGCTTCACTATTGAGATCATAAAGAATTTTAACCATCTCATCCACACGAGACTGGTATCTATTATCAATTATATGAATGTCTTCACCACAATATGCTTTAAAAAATGCTAATATTGACTTATTCGCAAAGGCATCTATGGCCAAAACATATCTCGCAGATATTAAGATATCACACATTGCATTCTCAGACTCTCGTGCATTTATATCACTAGACATTTGGCGTATAATGGCATTGACTTCATTGAGAATGATCACAAACGGACAAGCTGTGAATTCAATACGAAAAAGACTTTCAACTTGTACTATAATAATATCTCACTCATTTATAGATAAGTCTTCTAGCCTAATTTGGTAGTTGCAAATTCAGAAGCTGAATGCTTTTAACTCATCAAGTTTTGCTTTTGACTCATTACTAAGAGATTTTTGGTAAGAGATCCAGATATAACATAGTATAGAAGAGATATCATACACCTTACTCTTTAATGCCATAATGATTTCTCTTAATGTAGTGGTTTTTCATGTTGCTGGGGATGAGCGAATTAATGTAGTTGTTCTTTTAATATTTAAGAAATCAGAATATGATTCAGGAGCATTTTTCAGCTTTTTAACATTAATAACTTCCCCTGGCAACTCTACAAGAGGATGGATGCAGTTTTGCTACGGTATTAGCTATTCTTTCAGCTATTCTTACTTAGGTATTGTGAGAATTTTAGTCGCTTCTCCAAATACCAAACCTTTATGGTCTGGCTTATATTGTTTTTGCCGATAGCATTTGAGTATAAAGCATCCATCTTTTCGAAGAAAGCCATACAACTGATTCCTTTTATATTTGATATTGCAAATAGGGTATTCTATAAATAATTTGGCATAAAAGGTAATAAACCCTTTTTCAGCTTTTCTGATTTTAAGCCATTCATATTTTGCAATAACTAAGCTAGCTCCTTGGCTTAAAGCGGTTTCATCTTCAATAGGTTTGAACTCCTCATTTTCTGACTTCTCAGAAAAAAAGGTTCATAGTCAAATTTCTAAATAATTTGGTTTAAATTGAACTAAATAATCCTCTAGTTTGCGCATTCTGTTCTTAACTGAAAAAATCGCAGGTCTTTTAATTCTATCTCTCTTTGCTGATCCAAAAAGTTGAAGACTAAAATGTGATTTGTAAAGCGTGAGATTGATAAATTTAGAATATGGTTTTTCAACCCTATCAACGACTTTTTTCACAAAATCCCTAAGGTCTCTATAATCAATAAAACAAGCTGAAGGATATATGATATGCCAACTGCATTTATCAGTACTAGATAAACTAGCTAAAGCAAAATCATTTAAAGTTATGAGATATTTTAAATCAGAGTATAAGATATTAGTACAAGCAATTAAGATTCTAAATAATAAATCATCACGAGAAATTTTATATCTATCTAAGAAAGGAAGTTCAAAATTTGTGAGATCAGACTTCTGTCTCGCATCAATATTCAGAATTAGGCAAAGAGACAGATTCCCATCAATGCACTCATGAGTATTAGGAATTCCATAAACTTCAGATGAATGATCAATAACTATAAACCCTTTCTTACTACCTGAATGATATATTTATCAAAAATCTCTTTAGGATGATAAGTGCCTAAAAGAATGATACTATTTTTACTATTAGTTTCCAATAAATGTTAAAAATACGTGTGATCAATATAACCCAGCTCAGAATCAAGGTCTGTTACATCTGAAAAGAGACTTATTGCTTCATTTATTTCTATGAGTTGGGTTCAAATTTTTTTTGCGCAAGTAGCATGATAGGTATGTGGAAGAAGTTAATATAAAATTATATAGAAAATGCCAAAACTTCAAAATAAAAATTTTATATAATTTTAAGCAAATACGCTTGCTAGCAAAATACTGGGTTAGTAGTAATACGCAAAAGTAATCGATAGAATAATAACCCAAAGTAATCATATATAAGGATACCCAAAATAGCAACTATGTGAGAAAGAGTTTTAGAAAAGCAGGAGTGAAAGTTAGAATATAAATTTGGTGGGCTACTCAAGCAGAATTATATATAGAAAAGAAAAAGAAATTATACTTGAGTGGCCCACCGATGATAGACAGAAAAGAAGTCAGAAAGGTGGAAAGACTTAGAAGAATACATGAAAAAAGGGTATGAAAGATGTAAATTCTAAATCAATTCAGCACTTCATATCTCATCCTCGACAATCAAATAGGCTATAAAAGGCAGGATTGCAAGATATCTTTTGCAAATAGATGGATTGCAAATTCAGCACTTCATGCCTTATCTGGCAATCAAGAAATGACAATTAAGAGAGAAGCAACTAGTGATACCTGATGAAATTACCTTTCTTAATATGATGAAATCGACGAAACTGAAATGACGAAACTAGTTTTTTATTAATGGCAAAATTATTTTACTTAATTGCCGAAATTATATTTAACTTGATCTAAATTCCTTGAATTAAAATACATTAAAAAATA